GGTTCGTCTCTCTCTCTCTCTCTCTCTCTCTCTCACACACACACACACACACACACACACATATTTGTGCAGTTTTATTCGTATTTGGTAATTGGGTTTTTGTGTCTGATGGGAGATTCTTCAGGGTTTCTTTATGATTTGAATTACCTATACAAATAATTTCTCTCTCTCTTACAGTTTGGTTGAATTTGATTTCCACTCTTTTCTTTTACTTGATGGAGGACTGAAGGACTTTGAAATTTGATAATTGCGGTTCTTTTTTGGATGGAAAGACTAATTTCTCATTTTTATGAAGTTTGTGGTAGTCTGGCGTTTGGCTTTTGGGGGACACATTAATTTGGTTCATACTCGTTTGTGTATGATAAAGTATTGGCAGCTTTGGGCTTTTAATTTCCCTGTTTTGGTGTCTCGGGAACTACAAAGCTATCTGTCTTTTGGTTTCTCAATTTAGATTGAGAATAATTTTGGTTCTTGTAGGATTGTTGTAGAAGTTGAGGAAGCCCTTATCATTACCCCGGAAAAGTTCACGACTTCAAATCCCACACTCCCATGCTTACCAGGAATAGTAGTCAAGAAAGGCATATAACATAGATTGAACCCAAGCTATGACCTCTTCAGCCGTTCTGAAGCATATGTAACATTATTGGAACAATCCATTACTCAATGTCTTAGGATAAGTTCCATGGATGAGCTTTCATATGAATTTAGGGACCATGCTGATATATCTGGGTTGTGTTTATTATCTAGTAATGTATTTGGAAGGTTCGTCATCCTTGGTCCAATTTTTGCAATTTCAGATTTTTCTAAACTAGCGTTGTTCAGGTGGATCCAAAGTCACCTATTTTGGGAGCGACAGCATACAGAACGAACATAGAATTGGAGTAATCTATTAATCCAAGTGCAGGTTGAGGAAGGTAGTATGAAAGTTCGTAGAAAACAAGTCAAATTATTAATTGGTCTCAAACTCTTCCTCATAATGTCTAGCACACCAAAACTCCAACCCATGCCCCTAATTTATTCATATCCTTTGGCCAACTTGACATGTGCACTATACTAACTAAATCAGAGAATAGCCTAATAGATACTCTACATGGAAAAACCACCATCATTAGAACTGTTAAACCTTTGCTTTCTTTTCCATATGGATATGTTGCTCCATGCAAATAGCTTTGCCTTCTATGTTAGCAATATGAGTTACAATTAAATAATGGCAAGGCAGAGAACCAGACACACTCCCTTTCAATAATGCTTTGCTTTCTGGGCCTAAATTGCTGAAATTGGTTTTGAGTTGTTTATGATTTTTTCTTTGTGTTTTGACAAATAACTGTATTTCATTAACTGTATAATTTCTTGACATGGTTTTATTGCTGTATGGGAGTATCTGTTGGCTTTGTAAAAAGTTTACACCAGAAATATCAGAATTGGTGTTTTTTTTCCCACTCTACAAAACTCGGGTAAATTGCTCAAACATTTGTTGTTTGAGCTACTAAATAATGCATCCATTCGAATGCACCAACTTGCATCTCTTATTCCTCTATTCCTGCCCTTGCCAGAGATCATCTGCTTCACAATTCGACTCTCTACACGAGTTGTTATGAACTACCCTCTGGTTAGAACTCAACTATTATCTCTGCTAATGCATCTGCTAATCTCTGAGGGCCTTCACCACCCCTTGTGTAACAGTCTCACTTTTAAAGAAGAAATACAATAAGTAGTAATAGAGGAGAGAGACAGCTGATTCGAGGCAACCTAGAACTCCTAATCTCAAATAGCAATCTTCATTGATTGAGTAGCACGTTTTTGCTCACTCCTTGATATAATTTCTTCCCCATAACTCACATGGGAAAACTAAAATCAAAGTTTCTACCACTCTCTAACTAAAAATTAGTAGCCACAAAAATAAGCAACCCAAATGTTGCTGACAATAAGTAACTCAAAAAATAGGTAACCCAAGAGGATTGTTACCCCTTGATGCCAGCAAAATAGAATGTGCGAAATCCCATCTGACAATCAATGAACCTTGATATGTCTGAAGCAATCACACGTATAAAGCATGAATCTCCACTTCATTTGTATTGCATTCGCCAGCCTCCTGAGTATAACAAGAGTATAGTACCCTTTTGGTCTGGCAGAATTCCTCCATTCTGACCTGCCCAAGATTGATTGCCGTCAGAGCAGCCATCAAATTTTCTTTCCAATGTCCCTGATGGTGATGGATTCCGGCGGCTGCTTGTGATTCGTTTAGCTGCTCTAGTCCATACCACTTTGTACCATTGTTGTTGAGAATATGTCATTCATGAATGACCCCAGGGCTCTTTTCTTGTGATGGCCGGAGGCTTGGTGTGGTTTTTTATCCTTTTCCTTATCTTTGTAATATTTGATGAAATTCCCAGGAAAATCCCACTATTTCATTCTAGCAACACAAACCAGAGAACAGCTGGAATAGTAAAGTGCCAAAGTTCTAGACCTTGTTTGGGGAGTGCTCGTGTAAACCAGTGTTTTAGTAGGGTCTTTGATCGAGGCTGGTTTGGCCCATACAAAACCCAAACAACTTAAGAGAGTAAGACCAGATCTAGTTAGTGATGTTGAACTGTTTCTATATTGTCTTGGCATATCAAGCACTTCTCTGGCATATCCAGGTGTCAGACTTGTGAGTACCTTTTCTAAGGGTGCCAACCAGCCAACTGCCTGAAACTTTGGAGTATGGATGTTTCGAACTCAACATGCTGTTGCCGATTGTGTATTTTGTGGGTTATTGTTTGATTGATGGACTAGACAAACGTCCTTTAGTGTTTGGTTCGTAGTTGCGGGAACCTTGGAGTAAGGCCACAGTCCCACCTTAGGTACTCAATCTCGCAGTTCCTCAAAGGGATCTTAGAGGGAGCTGGATTTAGAGAATTGGAGATCTTGCTCCCTATAAAGTGGGATCTCGGTTTACATGCTTGTAGGATCCATCTAAGGAGAGGAGGTATACTATTAATTGAATTATTGCTTATCTCCATGATATTATAGATTTTTTTCTTTAGAATATGTTAAATTGTGGTGCATATCATATCGATGTATACTAAAATTATAGTATTAAAAAACTGTAGTTTAATATCATAGTAAGCTGATTTATGATATTATTTAATTATATTGTTGTGGTAAGTTGGAATACTGTAACTGTAGCATTGGTAATAAGCTAAGGTGTATGATAATGGATTGAGCGGGCATTGGCTCAATCCTAATTTTATCATATACTATTTATTCAACTTGTTTTATGTGTCGTTGATCATAGATCCCTCCAAGTCAAAACCTCAATCTCAGTAACATTGGATCTCGCTTCCAGGTATATTAGGATTTAGCTCCTTAACTTGTCGAATGTATGGACATCTCTCCTAACCTGAGGGAGCGTCCACCCTATGGCGGTTCGGTGTTCCCCCAACCAAACCTGGTCATGAGCCCGCATCTGCTTCCAACAACTACGGTTTGGTTCTCAAATCATCCTATCAGCACTCTCCATATTGATGACTGTTTCTTGACGGATTTTATTTTCAGTAACTCTTGTTGTGCTGCTATTTTTTCATAGCAGAGGTGTTGCCTGAATCTAGGTGTCCAAATTATTTGCTACTGCTCTTCCCATCACCTCTGAAACCAGACTATTCTAGTGGGCTGCTATTGGGTTTCGTTTTGGGAATCTCTCTGCAAGTGTTTGAGGTTCAACCCAAAGATCCTGCAAGAATAATATTCGTTTTCCGTCTCCAACTCTAAATATCCCCCATAAATTTGCTTAAGACTGAGTTTATCCTGGCATGCCGCATAGACTCCTTGGGAATGTCCAATTAAATGTGCTGTGCTTATTGATCCATTTCATACTTCTGCTTTACTGCGAATTTCCACAAATGATTGGAATTTTCTTCTAACTACCAGAATCACTTTCCTATGGAGGGCATCGTTAGTTTCTCTAATCCTTTTGATTCCTATCATCCCTAATTCTGTGTTAGGTATGCTTTACCAATTAACCAAGTGATAGTAATTCTATTGCAAGTCTTTCAATACAATTAGCAACTGAGCGAGGGATTTTAAAGAAAGACTTGAAGTAGACAGGGGAGTTTGAAAGGATAGCCTTTATCAGAGTAATACGACGTCCCTTTGATATTTATTTGGACTTCCAGGCTGCCAGTTTTCTTTCAAATCTTCCAGGCCCTCACCCTACTGGCTCTTTCTGGGTTTCCTACGCACACAAGAAGAGCTAAATATTTACTAGGCAACAACAATTCATGACCACACCAATCTGGCAGCAAACTGATCCTTGATCGCAAACATCCGTGCCTAACAACATCGATTTAGATATTTATGCGAATGCCAGTATCCATCACTTAGTATCTTAAGAACAATCATGACACGCTTCTCTGGGATTCCTTGGTCTCCCATCTGCATATTGGAGATGAAAGATAACTCGTCATATTGGCAAAACTTTGGCTTTTCATATCATCTGTGTTTGCTGGACTCTTGCTATCATCATGCTGAAAGTTTCAGCTGCAATTGAAAATAGAATGGAAAATGAGGGTCACCTTGCCTTAATCCACTCAAACATGGAAAGAATCCTTCAGGACTTCCATTGATTAACACTGAGAAATGCACTGACGACATGCTCCCCTTATCCATGAACACCGCTTCTACCCAAACCTCATTAACTGCATTGTTTGATCCAAAATTGACCACTCCAATTGGTTGTAAGCTTTCTCCATAGCCAACTTACACAGCAGTCCAGTTTCCTTCTTGTGTCTGTTGTCCATGATTTCATGGGCAATAAGGGGCCCAGCAAGGATTCATTGACCCTTTAAAAATTCTCCTTGAGACAGGGACATTACCATACACAATACTACTCTTAATCTCGTAGCTAGCACTTTTTCAAGAATTTTTAATGTCCCCTCAATCACACTAAAGTGCTAGTAATTTTTTATATTGACTGCCCCTATCTTTTAGGGATTTAAGCAATAATGATATGTACCTTTGTTTATCCTGCCCCTATTATGAAAGTCATCAAACAACTCTTTTTTGATGTTTCAATGTGGTGTCTTATGCTTCCAGCCCTTATAATGGATTCACACCTCTTCAGTGACATGATTTTTGAATTTGTCAGTTCAACTTTGCAATCACTTCCCCAATAATGCAATACCATTAATTATTCTCGAAAAGCTTTCCCATAGATTCCTACTCATTTGACTTTGTAGTATATTTGTGTGACACAAGAACTAGATGCCATTTTCTGTCCAAATGATGCATTTAGAAGGATTTAGAGAATTTAAAGGGGGCAAGCGATAAAACACTTCCTAAGATAACTAATGGGGGTTCGGGAGGACTTATCTAGCTCGTCTAGTGAATGACCTTCTGGTTATATCGAGAGTTCTTCAATCTGATGAAGACAGGAATCTTTTAAGCTCTTTGTATTTCAATATCGTGTTCAATCTTCTTATTACATTTCTGGTGACTGAACCAATTTAAACATGATCTCACCTGATGCTCATGAAGATACTTCTCACCTAGAAAAGAACTCTCCCACTCTCTCTCAAAAACAACTCCTCCCCCCAGGCAACCCACAGTGTACACTTACTATTCGTTCTTCTCTTCACACAGTAACACCTCTTTTCTACTATGTCATTAACCAATAGACACTGTTGGAATGCTGTCGTAGTCGAGGGGGGCTCTGCCAACATCATAGCATGGACTAATGGAACAATGGAGTGCGTTTGATGTCTGGCCTACATATTTGAAGAAATTTAACAATGACTGCTAATTTAAATGGAACTTTTCAGCATTCAGGAAGAGAGTCCAATTAGTTGGTGGACTCCTTGTCAAAAGGTGGAGTAGCTTTGTCTTTATAGTCACTACACAGATATCACTATGACCTTGAACATGAATCATGTTTGTTTATTTTTTTGATGACCCGTGGTCACTCAATTTTTACATTGATTATGAAACCCAAAAAAAAAAAAAAAGAAAAACAATCTGGCGAGAGATGTAATAGTGTCTCCTTGTTTTTGCTTAATGATGACTGCTTGTTTGAGCATCTCTAGAAGATGGGTAGTTTTATTTACTGATTCTGATGTATTTTTTACAACAAAATTCCCTTCAAATACATCCTCATGTCCAACTTCAAATTGTTTGCAGCTACTGCGAAAGAACTGTTAAGCCTGTGGCCTTCACTTTGTAAATCATGTGACCCATCAAACACTACTCCCCTTTATTTTGCTGCTATTCTGGATCACCTGGATGTGGTCAATGCCATCTTAGATACAGATGATAGCTCAATTAGGATTGTGAGGAAAAATGGCAAAACTTCACTTCATATGGCTGCTAGGACTGGTCTTCTCTCTATTGTGAGAGCGCTTCTGCATAGAGATCCAGGAATAGCTTCCATAAAAGACAAGAAGGGTCAGACAGCGCTTCATATGGCTGTAAAGGGCAAAAATATTGATGTGGTGGAAGAGTTATTAAATGCTGATATTTCCATTCTCAATGCTCGTGACAAGAAGGGAAACACAGCTTTACACATGGCTACAAGGAAATGGCGCTCGGAGGTGCTTTTGTTTTTTTTTTTTTTTCTTGCTTCAGCTTATTTGATTGTAATTGATCTCTTGTTGTTTATCTGTTCTCTTTTCTTTTCTGAGTATTATTTGCCAATATTGGTATGATGATCTTTGGTTAATTGGGTTGCTATGATTTTGATGCTAGATCAATAACTACATAAATTGACATTGCGGCCAGTCAATTATCATTAAGAACTGAAATTTTTCTGGCATGTTAAACAAGGAAAACCTTATACTTTCTTGACTTGGCCTCTTTTTCTTTCCTTTAGTGCACGCTCTGGTGCATATATTAACTCATGTATAGGTTGATGTTGCTATCACTGGCTGCATTTGTGTGGTTACAATTGGTTCAAGCACATTACTTTTTGGTTTGCGGGTATGCAGTTTCCTTCTGTATGCAATTGCATTGCTTTATGTTGTGAAGTGTTTTGCGAAGCTGTCAAGTTTCCTCACAAATCTTTTTTCTTCCCTTAAAAAATGCAAAATAAATTTACAAAACATAATCGAAAATTGCTGGATGTTTTTTAATTTTATGAATTTATTGTAATCATATCAACGTCGAAATGCATTTGTTCAGAATGAAATGAAAACTGAGGTGCATTGCTTTTCCTTTTTTTTTTTTAGTCACTAAGGCAAATTACTAGATGTTATCAAAAGAATATGCTTAGTAATATTTATTGTATGCAAGAGAAGAATTGATAAACCTGCACATTTTATAATAAAAATTAGTGTACTCTTTGCGCAGTTTTGTAATGTTCCTCACCAACGATCCGAGGTTGGAGCATAGTCGACATTGAATCTAAAGGATCTACTGCTGGGTAGATACCTTTGGCGGCTAATCCTCTTGATAGTACGGCAGTAGCATCTAAATGTGCAAAACTCACATATACATGATGGCTTAGGCCCAGGAAGCAAACTAACTTTGAACATCATGGGATTATGAAATATATACTTTTGAACACAATGTAAGATGGTGTTATGTGAACAAATGACTATAACTGTAGCTAGTTAATGGCACAAGAAAACTTCTATGTAGGAAATAATGTCTGATTCCTATTTAACTAAATAATCAAGTAAACTTGAAAATTGGAAATGAAATAGCTTATATTGGAAATATCCTAGTCATTTTAAAAAATACAAAATACAAACTTCTAATGTTACTTGACTCTCCATAAGTAAAAATATTGTAAGTAGAAATTCCTGAGGAAAATATTGTGCTATTTTGTGCAGGTAAAATAGATATCAATTGGTCTTGTACCAAGAACAGGTCTTCAAGTCAGCTAAAAAACATAAACTAAATAACTTAACTATATCATGTACACCAATGAAATGGTCATCGAGTTATCTAGACAACATCAACAGAATACCCGAGCAATTAGATTTTAGATAAGCAACTGATATATCTAGATAATCCAAGTAGAAAATTTGCTGATTTAAAATATTACGGTCCAAGGATATGCATGCTAGATCTTTTTGGCCATTTCTGATGCCTCGTTAGCTGTGAATCTATTGATCTTGAGTTTTTCAGGCATGAGGTTTATCGCTCACTGTACTTCTAGATGTGGTAGGAAGTTAAAGAGGCATAAAGCATCAGCCAAGCATCCGTATAATAAAGAGTGATGAACCTGACATATATTGTGAAATCGAGTTTCTTGACCTAGCCCTGACTCTGGTGCTTATCCGGAGCTCATTACACATGTTAGCTGCCTGATATGCACCCCATGCATTTAGTATAATCCATCTACTGGAAGAAAGTGTGTGTTATTGCAATTGAAATCTTAATGCATGAAAGCCCCCAGATTCAAATGCATAATGATTTCTGAAATACTTCCAGTAACCTTGTGAAATTTCCAGTTATCTTTTCAATATAACTAAGGGCACGTTCTGTGGCCGAAGTGGATATGCATACAAGATTGAAAATTTGGTACTCCATCCCCTCAGTATGACTCAATAAATGTGACGTGCCTCATGATCACTTTATGACAAAAAAGTACAGAGAAAGAATACTTTGATGGTAATTTTAGCTATGTACAATACCTCAATAATTATTTTTCTGCCTGATTTGGTGGGATTATTTGGATATTCTCTTTTTATGTGCCAAGCCATAGCTGCTTCTCTTCATCTCTGCTTAGTACGTTAAACAGATACACTAAATTATATATTGATCATATGTTAAATTTTAGGAAATCTCGATATATGCTTGGCCAATAATGAAACGAACAATATTTGTCTTTGTTTTACATAATTTTTTAAAAAATTAAAAAATAACCTCTTTGTTTTTATGCCAAGATATTGCTATTTGGTAGTATTTCGTTTACCATGAAATGATTTTTCATAAGAATTTGTGCCCAAATGTAATTCTAAATGGTGGTTTTCGCTAGGGTTGAAACCACACTCTCAAATACAACCCTTTATGGAAACTGATTATCAGTTTTGTGCTGCAGATGGTGACCTATCTTCTCTCTGACAAATCCATCGATATTAACGCTGTCAATAACCTGAATCAAACTGCCATGGACATTGCTGAGAAACTCCAATATGGTGAATCTGCCTTGGAAATAACCGAGTCTCTGGCAGATGCCGGTGCCAAGACTGCTCGCAATATTAACCAATCTGATGAGGCCATAGAACTAAACCGAACCGTGAGCTCCATAAAACACGAGGTGCACACCCAACTCTTACAAAATGCAAAGACGAACAGAAGGGTATCAGGAATAGCGAAAGAGCTGAAAAAACTTCACAGAGAAGCAGTTAGCAATACAACCAACTCTGTGACTGTGGTTGCTGTTCTTATTGCATCAATTGCCTTCATGTCTATATTCAACTTACCAGGTCAATATCTTCAGAAGGATCCTGATATGGGTCAAGCCACAATAGCTGGGGTCTATGGATTTCATGTTTTCTGCCTCTTAAATGCCGTTGCTCTTTTTATCTCATTAGCCGTGGTGGTGGTTCAGATCACGTTGGTTGCTTGGGAAACTAGTGCCCAGAAGCAGGTTGTATCGGTGGTTAATAAGCTTATGTGGGTCGCGTGCCTTAGCACATGTGGGGCATTTCTGTCAATAGCATTTGTGGTTGTTGGTAGAGATGGCTCGAGCTTCGCTATTGTAGTAACTTGTATTGGGGGACCAATCTTTGTTGGGACTCTTGTTAGTATGTGCTACTTTGTTCTCAGGCAACATTTGGGGAAATGGGGTGATGATTCACAGAGGCGTATCAAGAGAGCAAGTGGAAGCAAATCCTTCTCTTTATCTATCTACACTGACTTTTCAGATCCAGATGCTTATGACTCAGACCACAATGGGATATATGCTCTATAGCCATTTGGCAGCACAAGTTCATGAATACTTTTTGTAAATGAGTAAGTTACTATAATCGAATATGGATAACAATAATACAATCGGCTAATTAACCATGCAAGGAAATTGTGGAGAGTGATGGAGAGAGAGTGGGCCTAACAGGGCCAGGGCCAGATGTGACCCTTTTGCCATCACCATCATTTCATTGGTTGGCAATGACCTCAAGGCACTATCGTTTCCATTTATCTATTTGTATATTTAATGTGGTGTAAATAAAAGGGAAAATACCGTTGTGACTTTTATTTTGAGCTTTTATATCTCAATAGACCCAAATATTCAAAATATAACTCCTAACCCCCTGACTAACTTTGTCTACTTTTAACTATTTTTTAAGTCTTAACAAATATAAAAAAGATATGCTCATTCTAAACCCTTCATCTCTTTACGTGATATATTCCTCTTAAATTTCTCTCTTTCTTTCTCTCTCTAACATTCACCCTAACGGGGGAGAGAGAGAGTAAGAGACACGGGGGACAGAGTAGGAAAATAGGTAGAGAGAGATTTAGGGGAAAATCACGTGAAGAGAGAGACATGATGGTATTTAGAAAGGATGTGTAATAATCCTAAATTTCAAAAAAAAAAAAGAAAAAAGAAAAAACTTTTAAATAAGTGATGGTTCATATGAGCATGATGGTCTTTAGGGACCATCACTACTTTCAAAAGCTTTTACCTGGTTTAAGCTTTTGCTCCTTGCCACGTCTTTTAGTGGACGTGGTTTTTATGTATTAAAAGCGGACTTTTAGGTGACACTTCATACATGAGGTGTAGGCGTTTTAAAAAAAAATTATTTAGGACGAAAGGTAAGACGTCGCCTAACAACTCCTTTCTCGCTCTCCCTCTTACAAACACAGTGAGCTCCTCTCTCTAGCCAAATGTTTATCGGAAGCTCCTTCTCAAATATTTTAGGTAAGTGACTTCATTATCTTGAAAAATAAATGAAACGAAATAATTACTTCTGCTTATAATTATGAATTTTAGGCGCGATAAATTTTATGCGCAAGCGACCTCATTATTTTGAAAAATAATCGTTGTAATAAAATTGTGATATTTTATCTATGATAGAAATCTTAAATGCTGTAAATTCTTAGAAAAATAAATTTATTTATTTTTCTTGTCTATTGTTAGAAAATTTTAGATACTGTGAAATTATTATAAATAAATGTGATATTTTTGGTTTTAGTAAAATTGTGAGATTTCTTTCTATTGTTTTTGAATATTTAGACATTGTAAATTTCATGTGCAAATGACTGCCTTATTATTTGAAAATTGATATTTTTGCAATTGATTATAGCATTGTCTGTGAAATGTTTATTTGCGAATTGACATCCCAAAAATTGTGATAATTCCGTATTCTTGAGTTTCTATAAGAGTTTTTCTATACATATTAGATTGGCAATTATGCTAGAATGTTTTTACGAACTGCTACCTTTCTAAATTTGAGCCCAAAATATTTGACTGGTTATTTTTGAAGTGTTATTAAAAATGATTATTATTAATGGTTTCAGTGAAATTCATATTAATAATTCCAGTGATATGTTGAGTACATGATATTGCTGCTTTCGAATGTTTAAAGGGATTTAGAAATACTTTACGTATGCAAGTAGACTCATCCGGTTCGTCGGTAAGGTATAAGTGGACCTATCCGGTACGCCGGTAGGGACTAAGTGGACTCATCCGGTACGTCGGTGAGGTATAAGTGGACTTACAGGGATTAAGTGGATTTATCTGGGACGCCGATAGGGATTAAGTGGACCCATCAGGACGCTGATGGGTATATAGGTGACCTACTTGGGACGCCAGTAGGGTAAATTGTGAAATCCTTTGAATTATGCACTACTGTTAAAATGTTATATACATTTATATTATTCGGATTATACTTAATTATGCATTTTTGAAAGTGAAACTGTTAATGCATTTCTGTTAATAGATCTCCTTTTTGAAATATTGATAACTTTCAACCATGATTATTTTTACGATTATGATGATCACTTACTGAGTAGCCAAACTCATCAAATTATGGTAAACATTTTTTCAGGATAACTTCGGTTTCATTTTAAGTGCTCGTAAAAATCAACTCTGGAATATATTGTAGTTGTGCTTAAACTTTCTTTTGTTACCTTGTAAGAATTCGCCACTGTAAAATTGTCCTATCAAGAAATGTATATATGTTTTGACTGTCACATCTCAGGAATATCGTATTGTAAATTCTTGGGGTGTGACAATTATGGTATCAGAGCAATAGGTTTAAGATTCTTAAGAAATTTAAAAAGAATGTACTTAAAATCACATTTATTATATGTACAGACCGGGATGAAGTCAAGATCCAGAATAGCTGAAGCTAATATGAAAGAAATTCACAAAGCCTTGGAAAATATGGTTGCTCTAATGCAACATCAGATGGAAAACAACAATCCACCCAAGCAGTTAGTTACAGGAAACGGTGGGAGTAATATCGATCAATTTAAGAAATTGAATCCACCTCCTTTTAAGGGTGCTGTAAACCCACTAGAAGCCGAGGGATGGATTTTGTAATTGGAAAAAATATTCGAGGTAATGGAATGTCCTGATGATAGGAAGGTGGCCTTGGCAGTTTTTATGTTAGAAGGTGAAGCACAACATTGGTGGCGAATGACAAAAGGAGTATTGGTCAAAGAAAATAAACCCTTGACTTGGGAAATTTTTATAGAGGCATTTAATGAAAAGTATTTTCCAAATTTTATTCGAGACAAAAAAGAAATGGAATTTCTGGAATTAATCCAAGGGAACTGGACAGTAGTACAGTACGAGGCCAAATTTACTGAATTGGCCAGGTTTGCATCACATATGATTAACAATGAGGCAAGAAAGGTAAAGAAATTTGAAAGGGGTCTCAGACCAGCTATTAGAAGCAGAATATCAGTCTTAAAATTGAGAACTTATGCTGAAATAGTAGATCGACCCCAAACTGTCGAAAAGGATTTTAAAGATTACCAAAAGACAAAAAATCAGAAAAGTCAAGTTAGACCCATACCATCTAATCGACATCAGTTTGAAAGGGCAAACAAGAAGCCAAGGCTCTTGCCACTTCAAAGCCCAATAAAACAATGTAAAAAATGTGGGAAAAACCATGGATCGAGCCCTTGTTATTGGAATACTGGAGCCTGTTTTAAATGTGGGAAATTGGGGCACCAGATTAGAGAATGTCCTAACTTATAGAGGCAACAGTTTCTAAAGTAGGGAGAGATAGCTCAAAAGCCTCGGATGAAGGGAAGAGTATTTGTGATCACCCAGCAAGACGCTCAGGCCTCAAAATCAGTGATCCAAGGTACTCTTATTATATTCCAAAAAGTAGCTCGTGTTTTGATTGATCCTGGATCTACTCATTCATTTGTGTCACCGCACTTTGCATGCCACTTAAAGGTAGAACCAGAACAATTAGAATACATTCTAGAGGTAGCCACACCGATGGGAAATTCAAGTGACACCAATATAGTGTACAAATCATGTGTAATAAAGATAGCAGAAAAGAAACTGTCGGTTGATTTAATACTCTTAGAAATTCAAGATTTTGATGTAATCTTAGGCATGGATTAACTTTCTGCATACCATGCAAGTATTGATTGTTACAAGAAAATGGTTACCTTTAGTATTTCGAATCAAATAGTATTTTACGTCAATAGTATCAAAGAAGGCTCCCCATCATATTTAATCTCCTGTACTCGAGCTAATTGTCTCATTAAAAAAGGGTGTCAAGGCTTTCTTGCCTATATCAAAAAAGATAGGAAGGAAGAGATAAATTTGGATACCACTGCGGCTATTCGAGAATTTCCAGATGTTTTTCCCCAAGAATTGCCAAGATTACTACCTGATAGGGAAATTGAATTCTCTATTAAAATATTGTCAGGGCTAGCCTCAATTTCTAAGGCACCTTATAGAATGGCACCTGCAGAACTTAAGGAACTTAAACAACAATTGGAAGAATTATTAGATCAAGGTTTTATCAGGCCCAGTGTGTCACCTTGGGGTCCTCCGGTATTGTTTGTTAAAAAGAAAGATGAGACCATGAGATTGTGTATCGATTATAGACAGTTGAACCAGGTGACAGTGAAAAATAAGTATCCATTACCCAGAATTGATGACTTATTTGATCAATTATAAGGATCACAAATGTTTTCAAAAATTGATCTTAGATATGGATACCATCAGCTTAAGATTAAAAGTGAAGATGTTCCCAACATAGCTTGCAGAACAAGGTATGGCTATTATGAATTTTTAGTCATGCCTTTTGGATTAACCAATGCATTGGGTGTATTTATGGATTTGATGAATCGGGCCTTTAAGCCCTTTTTGGATAAATTTATTGTAGTATTCATCGATGATATTTTAATTTATTCCAAGAATCAGAAGGAACATGAGTAGCATGTAAGAATGGTATTGCAAATATTAAGAGAAAAGAAATTGTATGCCAAACTTAGTAAATGTGAATTTTGGCTCGAGTAAGTGACATTTTTAGGACATATCATATCAAAAGAAGGTCTATCAGTTGATCCTTTAAAGGTTGAAGCCGTTGATAATTGGAAACAACCAAGTAAAGTGACTGAAGTTCGAAGCTTTTTGGGATTGACAAGATATTACATAAATTTGTAGAAGGATTTTTTCGAATCGTAACCCCATTAACACAGAAAAATGTCAAATTTGAGTGGACAAGTGAATGTGATGAGAGTTTTCAAGAACTAAAAGTTCGATTCACTTCAGCACTTATTTTAACTACTTCTGAGGGGAGTAGGGGATTTGTGATTTATAGTGATGCTTCACATAAAGGCTTGGGCTGTGTATTGATGCAATATGGGAAAGTAGTTGCATATGTATCCAGACAGTTGAAAGAATATGAGAAAAAATATCCAATTCATGACTTGGAGCTGGCTGCAATAGTATTCTCTTTGAAAATGTAGAGGCATTATCTATATGGTGAGCAATTCGAAATATACACGGATCATAAAAACTTGAAATACCTCTTCTCTCATAAGGATTTAAATATGCGACAGATAAGATAGATGGATTTCTTAAAAGATTATGATTGTACAATCCATTATCATTCAGGAAAAGCTAACGTTGTGGCCGACGCTCTAAGTAGAAAATCTACGGGAGTCTTAGCTCATCTAATGATCCAAGAAATGAGATTGTTAGAGGAAATAGTAGATTGGTATCCGGCTCCATCCATTAATGGTGTGGTAAGTATGATTGCCAACATTAAGGCAGAACCCCAATTAATCCAA